ACTGTGGCTGGTCAGCAGTAACATCACAGCTAAACTACAGAAAAGCAAAGAAACCATTAGCTTATAGGTAAAAAAAATTCAACTGTATTTCACAAATACAATGCAGCTTTTACTAATACTTTGCATTAAAAAGGTATTTGTCACCTGCTAAGTTTCCACGCCCAAACTATTAGGAACAAATCGAAAGCAAGGTGAAGATTTGTATATCAGTTACAAATTTATAGCAATTAAACTATTTTTGTAAGGCATCATAAACAGATGCATTCAGCACTGTATAGGGGCATAAGCCAGGCACTGGTCTCTATTTTTTTTCTCTTCAGGAAGTCTTACTTGTAGAATAGGGTTTCATTTCACTTCACGTAAACATTCAATACATACAGTCATGGCCAAAAATACTGGCACCCCTGCCAGGGCGTCCCTAGGTTTGGTGTCACCCTGTGCGGTAACACATGGTGTCACCCCTCCACACGTGGGTGGTCCCTGTCGGTCGTTCACACACAGCCTGGCTCTTCCCCTCCCTGGGTCCCCGTGGAACCCCCCAGACCGGTGTTGCAAGCTCAGTTAACCCCGTATAGGTTGCAAGCCGCCAATCCCTGCAAGATGGATTAGAACTACGGATTGGGGAGCATAATGGATCGGACTCCTATCCATTATGCTCCCCAATCCGCAGATCCGATCCATCTTGAGGGGATCGGCGGCTTGCTTTAAAACTTTCTGGTGTCACCCCATGAGATAGGTGTCACCTGGTGTGGCGTGCACCCCCCCACCTAGGGACGCCACTGCACCCTTGCATTTCTGTCAGAGAATGCACCACTTTGCCCAGAAAATTGTTGTAATTACAAACGTTTAGGCATTCTCATATTTATTTATTTTGTTTGTATTGGTATGGCATAAAAAAGTGGACAAACAAAAAGCCAAATCTGACACATTCTATGCAAAACTGGACTGGACAAAATTATTGGCACCCCCCAATTAAATATTTGGTAGCACACTGCTTGGAAAAAATAATTTAAATCATTTGCTTACTGTAACCATCACTGAGTTTCTTACAACTCTCCAGTGGAATTTTGGACCACTCTTTTACCAACTGCTCCAGGTCATTCAGATTGGAGGGTTCCTTTTCACAACTGCTGTTGTGAGATCTCTCCACCGGTGCTCTGTGGGATTGAGATCTGGACTCGTTTCTGGCCAGTTCAGTACTCTCCAGAAGTTTGTATGAAACCATTTCTAGGTGCTTTTTGACGTGTGCCTTGCATTGTCCTGCTGTAAGACCGATGACCTCTGATGGAGACCCAACTTTCTGACACTGGGACCTATATTGCACCCCAGAATTGTTTGGTAGTCTTCAGATTTCATAATGCCATGCACTCGGTGAAGACATCCAGTGCCTGAAGCAGTAAAGCAACCCCAAAATATCATTGAACTTCCACCATGTTTGACTGTAGGGACTGTATTCTTTTCTTTAAAGGCATCATTGCTTTTTCTGAAAACAGTAGACTGATGGGTTTTATCAAAAAGTGGTAATTTTGTTTCGTCTGTCCACATCACATGGGCTTTTTTATGTTTCTGTGTCAGCAATGGGGTCTTCCTGGATCTCCTATCATAGCATCCCTTTTAATTCAGGTGGATGACGTACAGTGCAAGCTAACACAGTTGTACCCTGTGCCTGAAGGTCAGCTTGAATTTGTCTGGAAGTTGATCAAGGTTCTTTAGCCACCCATTTTGTTCAATTTTTCGCTTTCGTCCACTTCCAGGAATATGAGCTACAGTGCCATGAGCGGTTATCTTCTTGACAATGTTGTGCACAGTGGATACAGGAACATTAAGATCTCTGGAGATAGACTTGTAACCTAGAGATTGTCCATGCTTTTGCACAATTATTGTTCTCAAATTCTCAGACAATTTTTTGCTACTCTTTCTCTTCTCTATGTTCCATGCGGCACACAGACATACAACAGAAAGGTTGAGTCAATGTTTCACCATTTTAACTGGTTTCTGGTGTGATTTCTATATTGTCATCACCTGTTAATTGATACAGGTAAGTTTAATTACAAATAACAGGAGCACCACAAACTTGGAATGCAGTTATTTCTTACAATTTTGAGAAGGTGCCAATAATTTTGTTCAGTCCATTTTTGGAGTTCTGAGTGGAACGTGTCAGATTTGGCTTTTCCTTTCTCCACTTTTTTGCGTCATACCAATACAAACAAAAGGAATAAACATGAGAATGCCTAAACATATGTAATTGCAACAATTTTCTGGATGAAGTGGTGCATTATCTGACAAACACAAGGGTGTCAATATTTTTGGCTATGACTGTACATTAGTGCATGTCAATTTTCCTAGTTATTATTGATTACATTAGGTGACAAATGGAGTACTAAGGAGGAATACCTCAGGCATGGAACTACAAATAGTCTTGAACTAATGGACATCAACGTAAATTTCATTTTTACATAGGTGAAGTGCAAGAAGATGCATCACCTACTGGCTCCTTCAGAACCAGAACATGTACATGAATCTAGTGGACATGGGCAGCAGGTGTAGCATAAGGTCATTGTGATGCTTTAAGACACCCTATGAACGGGGCAGATCTATTAGGTAAAATGGTATCTTCCAGAAGTTTCTTCTTTTGATCACATTCAGAAAATTCAACTTTGTATACATAATACATCTCTATTAGTGCAAAGGCTATAACAATCACTTAGACAGTAAGGAAGACAACAGGGTTTTCAGAACGTGACTATTTCATCTACAACAAGGAAAGGGAAAGGAGTGTAGACATCTATACTTGTTCTTCCAGTGCTGGGAAAGGAGATCTCACTTACATGTCTGTCTGTCCCTTTCTCTGTCTAAATCTATCACTTGGTTCTTCTTCGCATGCTCTGGCGATCCCAAAAATGAAACACACAGGCACAGACAAAAAGAGGATACAAAAATTATACTAAAAGCAGCATAATTACACAGATCCACTGCTGCACCAATACTGATAGGATTGGACACTAAATACTGTATACTTTATTGGAGAAATAGCAAAGAAAAGAAAAAAATCATTTTAGATAACAAAATGTGACTATTTAATACACTCCCTATGTGTATATATGGTCATTACTTTAAATATTATATTGAGTATTAAAATTAGACCTGGGCTCAAAAAGTGAAGATTTGCTATGTTATAGGGAACATGTAGAAGTGTTGGTTGTGCCTAGATCGTAAAATATAACTCTTCCTAAATTTTGTTTGCAAAATAGCAGTGCTCTTCCTGGTATGGAAGGGTGACCATAGACTCCAGTGCTATCAATCTTATAGCTCTATATCTGCTTGTGTGATTTAAAGCTTAGTTCCACTTTTGCTGTCAAATTTGGATAACACCTACTTTATATTTGTAAACCATTTATATATTTTCAAATTTATATTTGTGCTGCCCTCAATCACATAGCAGAACTTAAATGTACAAAATGCTGCTACCATTTTAGATGCTATTTTCTGATAACTCCAGAATTGAAAAATCCTTAGTACACTTTATTGATGAGGAGGCTGGGTAGCTGCTTTTGCTATAAATAAAGATGCTTGTACTGTGCTAGCAAATCTCATCAGTTTTAAACTAGATATGAATACTGTCTGTAAAAGTTAAAGATTTAAAACCTGGCCGACTGCATTATATGTTAACTGAAAGGAATTCATTCTGTCCTAATGCCTATTACACACGATGAGAATAAAGGACGAATTACCCTAATTTTTTTTTTTTGCATGCTAGTCTCATATCAAAAATTAATAGGTTACTAAAGTTACAAAAATTCTAGTAAAACAGAATACAACTTCGGAAGTGAGGTACTGTAAAGTATTCTTTTGTTTACAAGGATGTGCAGTCTTAGTCACTCAATTTTCTTTTCTAAAAATACTATATAATTGCATGAAAATTGTTCAGTCTGATGTCTTATGAGAAATGTTTGTTCTTATCCCTTCTGACATTTTTCGCATGAACGGTTGTGATCGCCTCTCAAAACCCGTGATCAGCTTATCAGACGATCGCTCTGAAATCTTTTTTTTTTTTTTTCAGTTTTTCTCATTGTGTATACTAGGCATTTGCCTTTCTACTGAAACAGGCTAACTTTGGAATTGATCAGGAACAGTTACAGACTGCCCAAAGATCTTCTGAAAACACCTAAAAGGTCAGAAATATTGTTTGCAAAATCTTTTCTTAAGCATACTGTTTGAAGGGGAACACAAACATATAGCTTTTTCTCAAGATTGACTGCAAAAGTGGAAATATGCTTTAAAGCACTACTGCCTCTGACAGCTTGTTTTAAGAGATTTGGTGTTCTCCTAACCATGCTTGAGACTGTCATGAGGAAACAAAACCCTGCCTCTAACGTGATGGCTGCCTCCTCATAGCTCATAGAGACACAGTGAAGGTCACGGCATGGCAAGTCAGTAATGAGGGTAAGAGCAGCTGCACAGGCAATACTGGTAAAAAGTCTTTTTTTTTTTTGTTAGCCAGAAAAATTACCAAATCTGTCAAACGCGTAACTAACTGCCAAAAAAAATATTTTGGCTTTTTTGTTTTATGTCACATAATATAGATACTAGGGATTTTCTAGAAGGGGTGAAACTGCTTCAAGGTCCAATCATAAATGCTGCCCTATGTCACCATCTTTTTTGCGCACACTACATTTTATACAGGATAAATCAGTCTCTGTCCTTCACATTTCTTTTTATGCAGTATTAGCTGCTGTTTTACCCTCTGTAAAGTTTAGGATTAAAAAGTGACCTTTTTATTATTACTAACAATTTGTGTCTCAGGAGATGAAGACAGACAGTGAAATCTGTGTAACATATTAGGGGGCCCAGTTTAAATTTCAATAACACCTCTGGGTGGATAGCTACTTTTTCTGGTGAATTGTTAATAGCTTAAGAATGCTTATAAAATCCAGCACCAGGGTGACATAATATGGGACGCTTCACCACAGTGCAAATACTCTTTTCATGGCATTACATAATCAAAGTAAGGGTGCTCCTAAAACGGTTTCAGAAATCAGCTTTTGAGGAAGGCTAGTTAAGGTCATTTCAGATGTCCTCACCTTTTCTGCTCTTTCATGAACACTTTCTTGTGACCTCAGTTCTTTAGTTTGTGTCTGGGAAACTTCTAAGTAATTGGAGGGAACAAATCCTCTCTGCCCATTGAGCTCCCCCTGTATGTGTGAATAAAGGGAGAAGTCACAATAAGCATGCATTCTAAAAAAAATAATAAAACAAATCTATAAAAAGAAAAACAAAATCCCTGTTAGGATCTAGTTAGATTTATAAGTGCACTATTCAACTCAGACACATGTGTGTTCAATTCTTTGTGCTTTTTTTTTTTTATAGTTAAAACACATTGGGACTGTGTTAATAAAACTGGAGAGTGCAAAATCTGGTGCTCTGCACAGAAACCAATCAGCTCTCAGGGTTTTTTTTTTTTGTCAAAGCCTAACTGAACAAGCTGAAATTAGAAGCCGATTGGCTACCATGCACAGATGCATCAGATTTGGCACTCTCCAGTTTTAGTAAATCAACTCCACTAAGTCAAGCACCCACATATGTTGGAATGCCATGCCTTGTGAACCCTGCTCTCAACACAAGTTTGCCTGGAAACACACAGGCATGTGTGATATGACATACAGCAATTCATAACAGTCAAAGTCCTTAACGGTCTCTATCAGCAAACAGCAGACATGGTGGAGCCACAAGGTTGGCGCATATAAAAACATTGGTTAACATTGACCAAAATGTTCCTAAAGTCAGGATACAAAATGGCCCAATGCTTTTTATTGATCAGTCAAGGCTGGTACACAAGGCTTCTCTGCCTCAACATACACAGGGGGACTTGGTACTACTTGCTTTAATACTGTACTGCACCAATATGCAACAGGACTATATGTTAACTGTATGTCATAACAATATCAGATGTATTAAAGCAGGATTCTGTTTCTGAATGTTACTGATATAACAAAACAATACTGTGAACAGTCCATATAGAGTTACTCTTAGGCACCAAAAATAAGTTAAAACATGATACAGGAATCAACACGTACATAAAAGAACCCATCTTCATCCATTGGTCCAAACACAGTTATGATGTCCCCAGCAGTGAAGCTTAATTCTGCCTATTGGACAGAAAAAGAAGCAAATAGATTAAGTACTTGTTTACCTCTTCTGGGCAGAAATAATCCTTCCTTAATAAATATACAGTTCATAAATAAGTGCCATATAAAAATATATATACATAAACAAAACACAAGCATTTAAGATAGTAAAGAATTTAAATTTTGCTTCTTAAAAAAAAAAAAAAAAAAAAAGTACACTTCTGCCTGTGTATAAAAAGCGTACGCTGATCTTAATTCTGAGTGCTTTACTCCGGATCCCCCCCACAATGGTGTTCAACTGATTTATAAGAAAAGCACAGCACCAGTACTTCAAGGTGAGGCCCTAAAGAAAAATACAAGAAATGAAAATGAGAAAAAAAAACAGCCGAGTGCTGTCAGGCACCAGAATCTTAGATATGGGGGTATTAATGGGAAATTGAGGGGCAGTTGATATTTCTGCCAGACATCAGCTAATCGGTCATGCAGACCCCTTATCCATTTACTCACTGCTGGCAAAAAGTGTGATTATTTGGGAAGGATTAGAACCCTTTTAGGTTTTACTGCTCTCTAGGTCTCCATTATATTGATTTTCCCTTGTTTTGAGCCAATTCATGCCAGAGTGGTGCAGCACAGTGCAATGCAAGCCTGCGCATTGTGGTGTGCTGCCAAAAATGCTGCATGCAAAATTTATGATCTGTTACGGTGCATGCGGCAGTCTGTTTGATTAAATGGCTTGCCTTAATGTAGCATGCATTAAAGCATGTGCACCACAAAGGATTGGGGCTGGTGTGAAAAGAGCAAGTCAACAAGGAATCAGACAGTAAAAAGCTGACCGGGGTTCCAATCATTTCCCCGCTCTATCCGAAACTAATAAAAAATGTTTTGACTGGTCATACATCTAAACACGCTCACACAGCCCATCCTATCAATGTTAAATGCAGTGGCCCCTGTTAATGGAATTAGCCAATCTGAACATGTGAACTGGACTGTGGGAATTTCCAGTTACTCACATCGAGCCTGCTGAATTTGTAATCTAACCACTTTCACTTTTCTTTCTTCCCCATTTCAGCTCAGTAAAGAGCTCATTAACTTCAGTCATTTCTTTAAGTCATAAGTTTATAGCATCCTGATTATTTTTGCAATAAAAACCCCTCCTTATCTTATTTTTGTATTTTGCCATTGCAGCACACCGTATCGCCTATTCCACTCCTGCTTCCCCGTTCCTCTGCTATCAACATGAGTTGCTACTGACATGTTTTCCGGACACGAAGAGAAAAACAGTTGACAGGAGAGGGACCTACAGCACTCAGCCTGTTATTGACAGTCTCAGCTCTGTTCTTGTGTTCCTGTGTGTTCTGGGAAGGGGGATGTGTCCAGTCCCTCCAATCAGCTCAGAGCTCTTTTTACTGAGCTCTGCAGTGTGAAAATTTAGCTCTGTGCCCCTTTTTTTTTTTTGACAGCCCATAAAAGCTGTATAAATTCTGGACGTTGAATGGATTTAAAGAGAAGACAGCAAATAAACAGGTACAGCTTATGTAGGAGGATTTGTTTCATCCCTGTGTATCACCTGAGGCTACTCACTTCACTGGCTATATGTGAGAGTTTACAACCAATTTAATGGAACTAGCTGAAGATAGAAGTGGATTGGTCTGCAGGACAGGTAGATAAAGGGAAATTTCCAAAAGCAGCAAAACATAACCTGATAGGTATTTTAACATTTCCTTTCTCTGTCTAAAACAAAGGAAAATGTTTTACCTATAGAATGTAAATGTCTAACACATCAAAAATGTCACAGTAACTATGAGCAAAATGAAAAAAAAAATATGATGCAGGAAGGTATACCATGTTTGTTATTTTAAGGAAAAAAAAGGACCTTTACAACTGCTTTAAGAACAAAAACCTGTGTTAATGCAGGTTACACACTGCATAGTATACAATATGTCTTTTCTGATCTTACCCAGTAGTTGCACATTAAGTTTTAGGGATGTGCCAGATTATCAGTGCTACAAATCCTGGTCAACAAAAAGTGTCAAGTTGACATCAGGTAATACATTGTATAGCAAAGCTTGCTGTAACGGTGTTTTGTAGCTTCCTTCTTGAAGTCACTGTGTATTATGCTGATAGAAGATTACATTTACAATAAGACTGCAGAAAATCATATATTACATTATAGCAGATAATCCATACCTCCACATCCATATTTGGAGAACTTTCTCTAGGGTTATAATCAAACATAGCCACCATTTTTCTGGAGATGCTCGAGTCAGATTTGCTAGTTTTTAAATGCTTATCTAAAAAAGGTAAGAAGCACATATATATCAGTGATACCAATTTGCTAACATGAGCTCACATAATTACAAAAATATGGTCCATAACTGTTTATAAATTTTTAGACATACATTTGAACAAGCAGACATTTACTACAAGACAAATTTTATCATGTCTACTCACCGGCTACATTATTTTCTGCTGATGCAGAAGTCAGACGTACTGTAAAAAAAAAACAAAACAAAACAAAAACAGAAACAAAACAAAAAACCCCTCAAATAAACCAAATATTTTAAAGTTCTGAATCCACTATTTATAAATTTACCATTAGGTGGCAACAGCAACTTCCTGTTATGGATTTGTATATAAAGCAGCAAAATGAATATAACATTCCCCTTAGATCAGGCATGTCCAAAGTCCGGCCCACAGGCCATTTACGGCCCGGGGGTCTGATTAATACGGCCCTCCAACAGCCCTCCCTGCTCTGTGTAATGTGGCCCTCCCACGGCCCTCCCTTCTATGGCAGACAGTCTTCTGCTTGAGAGCAGAGGGCAGTGCGCATGCCTGACTACGGCGCGTTCTCCCTGGTCTGTGTAAATGCGGCTGTCGCACGGCCCTCCCTTCTGTGGCAGACAGTCTTCTGCTTGAGAGCAGTGCGCATGCGTGACTGCGCCGCGCTGGGAGCGACAGAGGGCGGTGACGTCAGGGCCGGGCTTCCAGCGGGAAGTGTGTTTCTCTTCCCCTCCCGGCTGCCGAGCAGAGACTTCAGCTCCAGCTACCTTTTTCACCCTTCACATTAGTGCAGGTAAGTTTTTTTTTTTTTAATTTATTTTCAAAACATTGTGAAAACTCAGCTGTCAGTTGATCTTAATGTTATGAAATCAAAAGTATGTCGTTTGCAATTAACTTGGCATAAAATAATTTATTTGCATTTTATTGTAATGGTTCAAAGAATGTTCGGAAAAATGTTCGGCCCTCCACCATGTTCACTTCATCCAATCTGGCCCTCTTTGAAAAAAGTTTGGACACCCCTGCCTTAGATGTAAAGAAATTATGTTTTACAAAAATTCATATGCAGGCTAGGTTATTTAGATTACTTTTTCAGCAATCCTGGTTATGCCCTGGGGCAAACCTGGCATACAAAATTGGGCAAGAAAGTGGCTTTTCAAATCGCAAAAGGCCTATTCACCAGACTACTCTGCAATCTCCCACATTTTCCTCTGTCTTTTCCTTGATGGTGAGACCAAAAGCGAAGTAGTTCAATACACTATAACGCTAATGGAAGCATTTGCTTGGTGGAGCAAAGCAGAATGCAGGATGCTATTGGCACCAATTTTGCAGCCTACTTACTAGAACTCCTGCCACCTGGCAGAAATGCTGACAGGGTCAATCACAAAATGTAAACATAAGTGCCAGCTATACAGTACAAGTGGTACTTTTCTGCATGAGTAAGGGCCTCGCACACAAAATAGTATGAAAAACTGCAACTGTCTAATGTGGATATTTTTCTGGCAAACCACAGCACCTGGGTCAGGAAGTGAAGGGATATCTCCCCTATGGGCCTCACACATACTCTATATTGCAGTAAATTGAATATATATCAACAGCTATGCAAAGCATACAATGAACAATGTGCAGCACAAAGGAAGACAGACTTTTTTTGGAGATGGCAAAAAGGGGTGCTATTCTTTACTCTATCCAAAATTAAAAAAAAAAAAAAAAAAAAAAAAAAAAAGTTTCAGCTTTAGTTTTACTTTAGGTTCATTTAAAGCCTCAAATTTGTTCCTCTCTGAATGACAGGCATTTTCAAGTTGGCATGTTAAAGGTCTTTCACCTCTCTTTTTTTTTAAATAGTAAATATAGTAGGGAAGCTGAACAGGGATTTTACATTATAGTCCCAAAACTCCTACAGATAAGATCAATGTACTGTCAATCTAAAGGGCTGTAGGCAGAGCCCCATGTGGGTACTTACTAATAGGGCTATCAATAGTGCCTACATCTAAGCAGCTACAACAGCAGAAAGAGTATCGTCTCTGCAGTGAAGTTACTGCAGAAAGACGTGTACTGTCACCCTATTAAAGGAAGTACCTGGTTCTATTGGTATGATCAAAAGGCATTTACAAAATGTTTCAGCAGATACCTCATAAATCATGCAATGACTGGTATATGCAGCCTACATTCCATGTAATTCTACATTCTGACCACAATTCAAATTGAAAGAGATGCTTATCTTGTGTACTAGAACAACAGCCCAATGTTGCATTAAAGAGCATATCAACAGCTATGCAAAGCATACAATGAACAACATGCAGCACAAGGGAAGACAGACCTTTTTTGGAGCGCCGGGGTTTTGGAGGAGGAATGGCAGAGCGGCCAGGAGGAGCAATAGGAAGAGGAGGAGGAGGAGGAAGAGGAGGAGAAAAAGCTCTGGTTTCTTTAAGAGAAAAGAAAGAAGCAGCAAAAACAAAGGCAGAGGAGAGTAAGCAAATTTCTATAGCAGAAGCAACATTCAGAAGACAAGCTACAGACATGACACTATTATAAAAAGCAGTCAGCCACAGACATGTATGTGATGGCGTTCATTTTGCTATACTGTAGCTTACTGCTCGGTTAAAGCAAATTATGCACATCATAAAACACACAGAACAGAAAAAGGCAATGCTGTGATAAAGGAATATTCATTGTTTATAGCAGTGTAAAAAACAATCATTGAAGAAAAAAAAAAGAATTAACTGGGCTAACACAGCAAACAACAGGGCTCCCTCTCTCAACCCCAAAATACTTCATATTTCATTTCATATCCTGTAAGGTAAGACACCATTTCTTACTGGTTGTCATGAGCAAATAGACAAATTTGTATTCAGCCCCCTTTACTCTGATACCCTAATTAAAATATAGTGGAATCAATTGGCATCAGAAGTCACTTAATTAGTAAATAGAGTCCACCTGTGTATAATTTAATCTCAGTATAAATACAGCTGTTCCATGAAGCCCTCAGAGGTTTGTTAGAGAACATTAGTGAACAAACAGCATCATGAAGGCCAAGGAACACACCACACAGGTCAGGGATAAAGTTGTGGAGAAGCTTACAGCAGGGTTAGGTTATAAAAAAATATCCCAAGCTTTGAACATCTCATGGAGCACTGTTCAATCCATCATCCGAAAATGGAAAGAGTATGGCACAACTGCAAACCTACCAAGAAATGGCCATCCACCTAAACTGACAGGCTGGGCAAGGAGAGCATTAATCAGAAAGAAGCCAAGAGGCTCATGGTAACTCTGGAGGAGCTGCAGAGATCCACAACTCAGGTGAGAGAAGCTTTCCACAGGACAACTATTAGTTGTTCACTCCAAAAATCTGGCCTTTATGGAAGAGTGGCAAGAAGAAAGCCATTGTTGAAAGAAAGCCATAGAAAGTTTGCAAGACGCTATGTGGGGGACACAGCAAACATGGAAGAAGGTGCTCTGGTCAGATGAGACCAATATTGAACTTTTTGGCCTTATAGCAAAATGCTGTGTGTGGTGGAAAACGAACACTGCACATCATCCTGAATACACCATCCCCAGTGTAAAACATGCATCATGTTGTGGGGATGCTTTTCTTCAGCAGGGACAGGGATGCTGCTCAGAGTTGATGGGAAGATGAATGGAGCCAGATACAGGGCAATCTTAAAAGAAAACCTGTTAGAGTCTGCAAAAGACTTGAGACTGGGGCGGAGGTTCACCTTCCAGCAGGACAATGACCCTAAACATACAGCCAGAGCTACAATGGGTTGGTTTAGATCAAAGCATATTCATGTATTAGAATGGCCCAGTGAAAGTCCAGACCTAAATCCAATTGAGAATCTGTAGCAAGACGTGAAAACTGCTGTTCACGGACACTCCCCATCCAATCTGACAGAGCTTGAGCTATTTTACAAAGAAGAATGGGAAAAAAGTCCCCTCTCTAGATGTGTAAAGCTGGTAGAGACATGACCATAAAGACTTGCAGCTGTAATTGCAGAGAAAGGTGGTTCTACAAAGTATTGACTCAGGGGGGCTGAATACAAATGCATGTCACACTTTTCAGACATTTATGTGTAAAAAAAATTTGAAAAACCATTCATCATTTTCCTTCCACTTCACAATTATGTGCCACTTTGTGTTGGTCTATCACATAAAATCCCAATAAAAACACATTTACGTTTTTAATGGTAACATGACAAAAATGGGTATGAATACTTTTTCAATGCACTGTATCTTGTGTCTAGTAATTAAAGCAAACATGTACTTCATATACAAAACTACAAAGCATATGCCTTTACTTGCCCCAAGAAAGTCTCAAGGAGAAGACAGATTGCAGTTGGTGGGGGCTTAGCTAAGAGGATAAGGAAAGTCATGTCCAAGTGACAAACCAAATCAAAGAGTTGAACAGAAGATGCTTTTATAGTGTAATAAAGCTCCCTGCAATGTCTGATCTTAAGGATTTTTACTTTCAAATGTATAAAATTAAGCACAGGTTAACTTTAAATTGATTACTTGATTCAAATAAAGTAATAAGATTCAACTAAAAAAAACAAACAAAAAGGATTTGAAAGCATGTGGAAGCATAAAACAGCACCTATGGCAAAAAAAATATACAGTTGTGTTCAAAATAATAGCAGTGTGTTGAAAAAAGTGAATAAAGCTCAAAATCCTTCTAATAGCTTTTATTTCCATACACACAAATGCATTGGGAACACTACACATTCTATTCCAAATCAAAACATGAAAAAATATATCAAACTTTGTGTTGTTCCTCTAAAAAAATTTAAGGAAAAGTAAATATTAGACTGTTCAAAAAAATAGCAGTGTTTGTATTCTTCTTTACAAAGACTCAAATATTCACTATATAAACTGAAAAATGTTTGAAGATTTTTCTTTCCTTTGAATCAATTAATATTTAGTTGTATAAGCACTGTTTCTGAGAACTGCTGTACATCTGTGTTGCATGGAGTCAACCAACTTCTGGCACCTGTGAACAGGTATTCCAGCCCAAGATGAT